GTGATTTAGTTACAAATTATGTGTTCAGACTGAGTAAGAATGTGAGATATTATCACATGGCGCATGGGCTTAGGGGGATGTTTCGATTAAATTATACCTGCAACAGAAGAAGTGTTGATTATCACCCCAGAAGACATCAGCTCCAGTCCCAGCTTTGTACCACGGATCACTCCACCCTGTATGATATTCGAATAATACTTAATATATAAAATATGAGCTGGAAACACTTTCAGGCATTAAAAATAAATAAAAAAATGAACTAAAGCATATTTCAGAAAAAGTTGAAGTCCTATACAAATAAGGGCAAATCGTTTTGACGGTTACACATTGATTTTCCATTGTGTTTGCCTACCAGATTAATATTCAAAGTTTTCTCCAAGTCTGGCTGTTCAGCGACGCCTGCGTTGTTGCACAGAATATCAAGCTTTCCATGTTCCTTGATCACGGTATTCATGGCGCCTAGTAAATAGACAAATTCGCACACATGCAATTACTATAACACTCTGAGGGCGTGCGCAGGTTGTTGTTAAGGGGGGGGGGGGGGGGTTGTTTCATCGTTTCAAGACTATGAGAATGGCAATTGACAGCAAAATTGCACGAGTATTGTTTCGGATTCACATCGAGCTGCTGGACTATCATGAAATGTCGACTTTTTCTCCCTGAATAAGTGCTTATCAGTCAGACTGAAAAAAAATTGAAACATAAATGCTTATTCAGACCGAAAAAAAAATGAAACTGGTACCACTTTCCGAGTCGGTCACAATGGTTGATAATGATAGGGGACTAACACTATTTGTTTGTTCCGAGGTATTGTGTTTTCCGCACTTGACATCAAATTTATTCTTTTAGAATTTTTACAATACAAAAGGAATTCAAAAGAATAAATTTGACGTCAAGTGCGGAAAACACAATACCTCGAGACTTATTGAAAGGGTGTATATGGTCCCGTTGAAAGCAATGTCACTTGCAATAGTAATTAATGCGAACTTCGCATGCCCCAATCTCATACATGTCCAGTACTGGCCTATAGTATCCCCTGTCCTTCATACGAATCCCCCTGTCCCTCCAGGAATCGCCATGGACATCCCCTGATTGGCTAAACTAGTATGCCATTCCTATCCCCCTGTCCCTTAAGGGATCGCCATGGACATCCACTCATCGCTGGTTTTCCCTGGAGTCAGGCAATGGTAATGTCAATAGGTCCTGCAATTCTTGTTATTGAAACGGGATCAACTGTGTCTGTGGCTCTAATCCTGCATGCCGTGGTGTTCCCCGGTCGCAACTGAACAGCCGCACGGTTCCCGATGATGGGGCAATGGGATAAATGCTGTTGAATTACTATCAGGGGCGGATCTAGGGGAGGAGCCTGGGGTACCATCCCCCACCCCCTCCCTCCTTGGGAAAAATTGTGATTAATTCTTCAAAATTGCTCTTTTACAAGACATCAGATATCTCTTTCAATAGCCTAAAGGTACAGGCTTTAGTGCACCCTCTTTCAGAATTTCTTTGGATCCGCCCGTAATTATGGCCAGCACCATAAGGTTGATAATCAAGGACGATACGTTCGTCAATAACCGCTATACATTAATACAGAACTTACTTTTCAAATCTTCATTATTTGTGACGTCACATTCTATAAACACAGCGGAGCCTGGGCCATACTCGGCTTGGAGAGCTGCCTNGTCGCAACGACATCAAAACACTAGAAATATCGATCCAGGAGTGATATTCTGTCTTTCTCAATTTTCAAAAATAGCTATCCCGACTTCACGCTGTAAAAGCGTGTAGCTCATTCAAAATATACAAATTTCGTGAGATTTAAAAAGGTCATATAAACAACACTTTATAATTTAACTATTTTTGATGCAATGTTTAAAGGAAAGAACCCTATTAACCTATACTTATCCCGTTTTTTGTACATGGACCAGCTTATACTAATTAGGGGATTTTCCAAATGCAACTCTTTCAAATAAATTCAAAATAAATGCTTTAAATGCTCTTAACTCATATGCTTTACTAATGCAACCGTAGACGAAATGGCGCAATGCATTTGATTATCAGATATCTTGGTGTAAGGTTTCACGTTTTTAATTAAAAAATGACCTCTCAGGTCAAGAAGCATATTTTACAAAACAAGACTGCGATGAATAACACAGTAAATGGGGAAATATAATTGACAAAACTATTTATTGATACGTAAAATATAGCTATTAGAACAAATAAACTTATCGCTGTGAGTCTAGAGCTGATTGTAGAGGTCTGATCCTTCGTCTTGTCAAAGAATTCTTTGTGTTCACGGAACGACTCGTTTCGAAACTGACGCTCATTGACATCTTTTAGTGTGAGTCTACCGCGAACGGCGTGTGCGTTTGTAAGATGGTTGAGCTGCCGTTAAGCGTCTCATTCTCGTTGTACTTTTTTGAACTCTCCAAGGAAGAAGGAAGAAACGTCGAGCAAACGTACTGCAGCACAAGTACAGCACCATGAGACAAGTAAAGTAAAGCATTATGGATAATATGATTGACCATGTGACCTTGGTATTCCTGTGCTATCCAACCAGGAAATTATGGGTAATTTTAGTTGCCAGGTTACTTTGTAGGTATGCACGTGTGATTGGCCGATTATTATGGTATATTTCACAGGGCTACCTTTGCACTGGTAACTGCAAAAATGTGTGATTGGATGGGACATTTAGTACTCTGAGCATGCGCTTATGTTTTATTCAGTTACATAAAGCACACGTCCTCCCACATGGTTCTTAACAAGCAAATTTATTAGTATATAAGTCAAGCAAAAAGTATTAGTATACGATGATATGCCGCAGACTCGGAGGTAGACTTATATGACGAATGCTAATTAAATAAATGTTATGACGTCATGTGTGACGCAATGACACAGGGATCCCAGTTGGAGATGTCTGATTTCCGGTTAGAAAGAATATCACATGACAGGAAGGTTGSGRATTGAACTTCCGGTGTCMCAAACGCGAMATGACACATAGATTGACAAAAAGGTAAAACTAAAGTCGGCCTAGCCCGACTAATAAGTTTGTTCACGTTCAGTTAGGTTTGAATACACCAGGCTGTTAAATTGATGGCAGCCAGGATAGATAGTAGATATTATAAGTTTGTTCACGTTCAGTTAGGTTTGAATACACCCAATTCGTTAAACTGGTGGTAACCAGACGTCTGTTCGTCAAGTATAACCAGTGCCTCGCCATTCTTGGAGTCATTGGCAATGAGCTGAATCAGTGCTTTAGCAATAACCTCTGTTCTAGAAAGGAAAAATAACGTTATTCCAATCGTCATCGTTATGATTTTAGTCTAGTATCATCTAACATACGCGCTTTCGATTTTGAATGCTTAAGCTCGCGGCGAGGTTGTCTGCTATAGACTTGCTCCAAGTCTAAATCGTTCTTTACTCTCAAGTGATGATGAAATTCCCGTTGATTGACCTTGATTACCCTATGGGCAACATGCTCAATGACAACATTGCATTTAGGGGGTCAGGGGGAATAAAATTGTCTGCGGGTGTTGCTTAAAATGAGGAAATTCGCTTGAATTGTCCAATTTGTCAACGATTAAGTAAAATTTAAAACACGAGAGGGACCTGATAAAACACGATCTCGAGTGTTTTAAACGGCTTAAAAAACTCCAACACTAAGTTGAAACTCAAATCCGTTAAAATTCTTGGAGAAATTGCCGTACAAATATGTTCAGAGATAAATGGGGCAAACTGATCATGCGCAAATCACTTTACAAAGCACTCTTGTCATCCCACACTGAATACGCATAAAGTAAAATAGAACCGCTCTTGGCTGTTCACTGAAATCGGTTGACATCCTGCATTGGTCAATGATCAGGTTTCAAACCTGAGACCTTTGCTAGGGTCATGGACCTTTATATCTGATAAAGGTCACCCTTATTAGTATTCTTTATATAAAGAATACTAATAAGGAGTGTTTTATCAGATATAAAGGTCCATGCATGTGACCAAATAGGCTCATTCTATTGGCCTAGTAGCTCATTAATTATGTATGAGTTTTTTTAATTGTATGTAGCACATTGCGTCTCAGGGACAATTTTTCGTCATCTCTCGAGAGTAAACAGTGAGGGAGATTTGGAACAAGTCTAYTTGGGCCTAGACCAACCAATAAATATCTAATGTCATGATATCCTGAAAAATAACATACCTCATCAACGGTTTTTTAAGCACAATAGGCAAATTTTCCATTGCTTTCCTGATCACGGGCGTATCTGTTGCACCGGGACAAAGACAATTGACTCGTATGCCCTTTTCCACAGCTTCCTGAAAAAAGTACAGTGTATTATTACTGTAGAGTGCTTGTTTACCATTTTGCAAAGCCAGGAAAATATTTTTGGTTAAAAAAGTCATAATTTTGACACTGATGACTTGGCACTCTTGTTCCCCGGTCTTGTTCATTTGAGGATTTGCTTTTTTTACCGGTGGAAAACCACAGACTTTTACATACTGTGTAAATCATGTGTAAATTGTTTGTAAAGAGACTGTAAAATTGATTTTACAGGAACAAGGTAGTTTTACTTACTATGTAAACTTAAAAAGACTTTGTAAATCATATGTTAATGTGAAAAATTGTTTGTAAAATACAATTTTCAAAATATTTACATAGTATGTAAAAGACTGAGATTTTCAAAATATTTACATAGTATGTAAAAGACTGAGATTTTCCAGTCGAAAAGGTCTATTTTCCCTTCAGGACCATCTAAGATCGAGATCGAGTTTTTATCATAAAGAAATAATTAAAGTACATGTGATGCTTTTCAGAAAATCATTTTAACAGCGTTTATCACCTTTGAACAAGAAAAGTGAGTATTACCTGTGAAATGGCAGTTGCTCTAGTGAAACCAATCACACCGCTTTTTGTAGCTGAATAAACCGGACCAATTCCCCACGGCGCGATTCCTGTGGACATTGTTAACATTGTTAACTATCAAAATCAACGACATTTATATATAATGTGAAGTTATTATTAGATTAGAGAATGGTCGAGACTGAGTATGATATGAACAATTATTGGCTGAGCCAGAGTATGATTGGTTGAGGCTGATTACAATATGAGCAATTATTCGTCGAGGCGAATTTGAGTAGGATATGAAATACAGTAAACACCTGAAAATAAGAAACTTGTTGTTTGAAAGTCTGGCAAATAACGTTCTTGTTTTTAAGAGGTAGTTGTTGGTAATTTTGGCAAAACAGGTTCTTTGTTAGGTTCTTAATTCCTAATAGGGCGATACAGTTATTATTTTGCGCATATAGAGTGCTCGCACTTAAAGCGTGAAACAAATAGTACTAATTAATAGTGTTGATTATACAGTAGGAAGCAAAGGAATTTGTATTATTGATCACCTATTTTGTAGTATTTATATTTCACACATTTAGTGCGAGCACTCTATCATAAGAATAATAAATAAGCTTGATAGAGTGCAAGTCACATAAGCATGAAACAAACTATGTAGTGCTAAATAAGATTTAGTTATCAACTAACTAAGAATTGAGAACAATGCTACAAAGGAATTTAAATAATTGGCATTGTGTTTATGCTTTGTTGAATTCTTAGTTAGTTGATAAATAAATCTTATTTAGCAATACATATTAAGAATTGTTTCATGCTTATGTGACGTGCACTCTATGGGCTAAAATTATATATAATACTGCCACTTTCAACTACTGTAACAAGTAAATAATCAACTCAACAACTGTAAATACATCGGTATTTGTGCGCAATCTTCAAATTGAGTAGCCTGTGGTTTGTTTATCATTTAATTTAGCTCTAACCCATATTATAAGAACCTGCTAGATAATATTTGGCTAAAAAGTTTCTTATTTAAGGGGTTATTAAAATGGAAAATTTCTGCCAAGAGGTTCTTAATCCATTAGGTTCTTATTTTCGGGTTTTTACTGTATTATCACGATCGTGTGGATTAAATTTGAATCTTGACGAATACCTGCAGCAGAAGCAGTGTTGATTATCGCACCAGAAGACATCAGTTCCAGTCCCAGCTTTGTACCGCGGATCACTCCACCCTGTATGATATAGAGGACAGTACGTAATGAATAAAATATGAGTGGGAAACCTTCATAGGAATTAAATAAAAAAATAAAAAAAAAATATTAATGTCAAATTCCAACATGAACTCAATCACGTTATTCTAAAAGCTTCAAAATATTATATTGGTCGTATGAGAAAAAGGGCAAACGTCTCTTTACTCGTACAAAGATTCGGTCACCGAATCAATTTTCCATTGTGTTTACCTACCAGATTAACATTCAATGTTTTCTCCCAGTCTGTCTGATGAGCAACGCCTGCGTTGTTGCACAGAATATCAAGCTTTCCATGTTCCTTGATCACGGTATTCATGGCGCCTGAAAGTGAAAAAACTCAAAATGGTAAATCGACCAATCCGCTCACAGGCAAACACCTTGTGCACAGCTGTCATGATCTGGGTGGGCCTGAGGGGTGGGGGGTGAGGTTGGTGGTGGAGCTCTGTTTCACGGTTTTAAGACTATGTCAATGAAGACGACAATTGACAGCAAAATTTGTTTTCAAAACAAATCGGATTCACATGGAGCTGCTGGACTATCCAGAAATGTCGCCTTTTCAGTCCCATTGATGAATGCTTATTGAGATCGGAAAAAAAGTGATTTAAACTCCTGCCACTTTCTGAATCGTTGACAATGGTTGATAATACGATACGGGACTAACACTAATTGTTTGTTGTGTTTTTTACAGAACGCAATGGTTTTTGAGGTAAATGTTGAACGCGCGGACGTCCAAACATGCCCTGCAGTGTCACTTGCAATGGCAATGCGAACTTTGCATGCCACAATTTCCCCTAATCTTCCCCGGACGCCAGTTTTCCGAGAATGAGTCAATTGTAATGTCAATGGTGGCAACTGAACAGCCGAACGCGGTTCCTTAGGATGGGATAATTGGATAAATGCTGTTGGAATATCGTTATGGCCAGCACGATAAGTTTATAATTCAAGAACGATACGTTCGTCAATAACCACTTATACATTAATACAGAACTTACTTTTCAAATCTTCATTCTTTGTGACGTCACATTCTATAAACACTGCGGAGCCTGGACCATACTCGGCTTGGAGAGATGCCTGCGCATCAGTTCCTTCCCCAGTCAAAACGTCAATCAAAACAACCTAAATATTTCAACGAATTATGAGTTCGTCAAAGCAACCGTTTTGAAACACGCTAACACTATAACCACAATAGAAAAATGTCAATCCTTAAACCCTCATACAGTTGTTGATAGTCATCTTCTGAATAATTAAAGTAGAGTTACTTGTGCGGAAACCCTGTGCATTTAGTTCTTGTCTTGCTTTGGTGTATCCATGACAAATATGGAAAGAAACAAAATGGCAGATTTTTCAGAAGTGTTTTCGCTATAGTATCTGCACGTTTCAGACGATTGTAAAAACAAGAAGCAAAATAAATATGTATTGTATTTAAAAGGCAAAATAAAAATCGAAGAAAACTAGTCCACATGTACTTCCAAACAAGGCAAGATTAGATGATATATGGCTGCGGACAAAAAATGAAAAATTGGGACGAAAATCACAATAGAAAAAAAAAATGGCTCCGCCGATCCGAGAGCCTCCATTCCGCCGTTGCATTGAGATCAATGATAAGGTCACCAGACCATACAATCTCGTGATCGCCGAAAAACCTCTCAACTAAAAACTCTCCTCAAAAACATTCATATACTGCAATTGTCTCAATACATCGAACACTAAAAATAACACGAAAATGTCGTATTCAGTACATTGTCGATATTCACAAATTCAGAATCAAATCAAACCTCGTCTCACCACTTTTGCGCCTTGCTTCAACAGTTCTTCACAGAAAGCATATCCAATTCCCCTGGCACCCCCTGTAACCATAGCTACAGCCCCCTTTATGATCATCTTGTAAGCTAGAAGTTGCGATCTCTTGAAGGGTTTGGATCCAGTGAGAGAACCCAGGTTTTCTGTCGCTCGTTTCTGGCCCAGGAAAGCCTGTTTGACCTTGTTCTCGAACGAATAACTTAGATACTACGTGCGTTCTGATTGGNTAAAAAACAGCTTATACTTTTTTAGTTAGGAAATTTTTATTTTCCTGGAAAAAATTCTTACCATATAAGAAAATATTCCTTGCCGGGAGAGTTCTTTTTTCCTGAATTTCTCGCTGGCAACCTGTTGTTACTTACAGCTAGCTGGGACATAAGAACAGAAATATTTCTCCCAGGAACCCGTCGGCTCCTCCTAMTTCAATAAGAACACCAAATGGTAGAACGSACCAGGAATCTTTATTCGTCGTTATTGCGAGTACAAAGTAATACAAGATTCGAGAGTCAAGTRTAATGCTGTGTAAGAGTTTCCTATTGTAAGAAGAATGTCTAATAACAGTTGTGCCATTCCTTTTGTATTGTAAAAATTTCAAAAGAATAAATTTGACGTCAAGTGCGGAGAAAACAATACCTCGGGACTTATTAAAAGGGTGTATAAGCGCACTTTGGCTGCCCTTCAACCCTCGCGTACAATACTAGATTAGGTAAGTATAGGTCAGTATTCCATTGACTGTTTGCAGTCAATGTGACTGGTGCCCGTTGGGATGTGACAGGGTTACCATGGTTACCGCTAATCTCGTGCCAGACTCCCTCATTCTCACCGACTGCGTACCAAACGCCAAGCTCATCATTAGAGATGTCGAGTTTAAACGACGGCTGACGTACAGTTCAATTTCATATCACTGAATCAATAGGATTCAATTAAGAGTGCTGAGCAGTGGTGTTGCACAGGTCAACAGATAACGAACTATTGAAAAACAATAATTAAGTTCTTATGGCAGATTGTCGTTGTTATGACAACTAGAATAATTTAGTTCATTTGAGTCGAAATATTTGATAGCTGATTCGAGCCCCTTTACAAATGGAATGACCACACGCTATAATATCTGCAAAAGTTAGACAATTTCAGACGATTGTAAAAATAAGAATGCAAAATAAACATATATTGTATTTAAAAGGCGAAAAAATTGAAGGAAAATCAGTTCGCATGTTCTTCCAAATAAGGCAAGATTACTAGACGATATATATGGCTGCGAACAAAAAAAACCCCGACAAATTGGGACGAAAATCCCAATTGAAAATAACTGGATCAGCCGATCCGAGAGCCTCCAGACCATTCATTCTCATACTCATTTAATTATTCATGAGGTATCCAGCCAATCCCTGATTGCAATTTGTACCACGTGCAGTAACTGGATACCAGAGGCCGAAGTATTTCCAGTTACTTCTACCTTATTTCCAGTTACTTTTAATATAGAATTAATTTAGTGTAAAAAGGTCTTTGCTAATTGTGCGGACTTGAAACCCCGTCCAGTCCTCATTGTCGGACTTTAAACATAACCTATAAACTAAAAACTCTCCTGAAAAACATTCATATACTGCAATACTCCGATTTAGAGTTCTGGTTAGCTCTGTGTTAGCCTCAAAACCAAGCAAAATATTCTTTTGTTTCATTGATAGCCCAAGAAAACGCATGGAATTTGAAAAGAAAGACAATGGAATTGATTTGAAATCTCACAATTTTACTCTCACAATTAGGAATATTTTCCGCACAAATGAGGCTAACATCCTAACACAGAGCATTGGAGAATTCGAAACTGGATTATTATCTCAATAAATTGACCACTGCAAATAACACTAAAATGTCCTATTCAGTACATTGTCGATATTCACAAATCCAGAATCAAATAAAACCTCGACTTACCACTTTTGCGCCTTTCTTCAACAGTTCTTCACAGAAAGCATATCCAATTCCCCTGGCACCCCCTGTAACCATAGCTACAGCCCCCTTTATGATCATCTTGTAAGCTAGAAGTTGCGATCTCTTGAAAGATTCTGATCCAGACTAGTGACATCCAAGAGAACCCAGGTTTGCTGTCGCTCGTTTCTCGCTCCCAGGAATACCCTGGGTACAAAGTCTGTTTGACGTTGTTCTCGTTTCGTAAATCAAATGGAATAACTTAGATACTAGGCGCGTTCTGATTGGCCTCAAGTGATTTATGTTTTTTATGGGCAATAAATTGAATAGTGATCTACTTTCTCTCATTGTTATGATTGATTAATTCTTTTTCATAAAAATTTCATTTGTTATGTACCAACTTTCATGCGACGTACGTGAAAATCCAATGTTTTGACAACGGTCTGTTGTTAAAAATTGCAATTTTACTGGTTCAAAATTTGTCCCGCGACGTGATGATAATCGATCCACCCCCGAAAAATATCAGCGAAATAGTTAAAACAGCTAAAGTTAGAAACAAATCCAACCGGCCAATAATCGTTCCTAGATACTCCGAGATGGTGATTCAACTACAGATAATTCCTCAGAGGTTCTTGGGTGCACATGACACTTTAATCATACAACTAACTTAACACTTAACCGCGATCAGAGCTGGAGCASACATTACATATTTGACACTCTGCAAAGTTTTGAACATTTTATGACGTCAAGAGTATGTCAATAAGAGGACACCCAACCAAAACCGCGTGCTATTTTTTTTACCACATTTACATCTAAAAATTAGCGAAAATCATCCTTTCAACTGAGCGCGCTTGCGAGGCGTGTTGGTGTCCGCACAGTGCGCATGTCCTCTTATTTACACWCTCTTATCAGCCAATCAGCGAGCTATAATTTACACAGATGTAGTAAAAAAAATGAAATATGCTCTATAATTGTGTTTATTTAGGTTTGAATAMACCSAMWTCGTTAAACTGGTGGTAACCWGACGTCTGTTCGTCAAGTATAACCAGAGCCTCGCCATTCTTGGAGTCATCGGCAATGAGCTGAATCAGWGCMTTAGCAATAACCTCTGGTCTAGAAARGAAAAMTAACGTTATTCCCATYRTCATCATCATTAGTCAGACACGATCAATACGCTTTATTTATTTATTTTTCACTTTAAACTATGTATATTGTCATTCAAAGCTTATTCCCAATAAAGTTGTTAAAAAAATTAGCTTTAATCAAGCTGGATTTACGCAATAGGTTTATTAAGAGTTCGTAACACAAGATTAGCGCTAATCGACCTTTGAAAGACCCGACCCTGGAGTGAAAACTATACTCGAAATGTAGAGTGGAGTTAAATCTCTTAAAAGTTAACTCT